AGCAGATTTACAGCATCACCATGAGCAACAACAATTGGGAACAAAAACAACTAACACAGCAAAAATAATAACTGTAACAGAAACAACAATAGCATAAGCAACAACAACAACAACAATAGCAGCAGCAACAGCAACCGATTACGGCATTGCCCATTCAGAGTGGGAAATCGATGCCCACCAGACAGCTCATATTCAGGAAACAGGCCAATGACCTAAGTATATGGGCCGAATACTTCTCGACCTGGAATAGTAATTACTGCTGTTACATATTATAATGATATAGTGTAAAGCGCATATAGCTTGCTTGCTGTTGAGCAGGGTTATATGCGCTATAAAGATGCTATTTTATTATTATCACTATTATCCAATTTCTCAGTAATGAGCGGATTGAATGTTTTGCCTTCGAATTGACTCATCTTGTGTAACGATTAATTGCAGTGGTTGTACACCGCCAGCAACACAATTTGGGGCAATTAGAAAATGGGAAACTTCGACCCTACATATCAGGTCCAACCCTGACCTTTTTTTTCGTTAGTGTTTTTCGGCGCTTGCAACTGCATAAGGTCATATGGGCGCACAAGACACATTACACCTTTTCACAACATTTTAGTAGACCAATAGAGATATTTGATCAAATAAACTCAGCAAATAAGAAAAGAATTCGCCCTGTTGTATGGGAATAAATAGTGAAGAGCCTATCCATTTGTTTCGTGACAAACATCATTATCAATATAATCTCTGTCTAGTGCAGACTTTTACTTTTGGACCAAAAAGGACACTCACAGAGAACTATGCCTTAATAAACATTCAGTTTCTAAAACTATTTACTGAACTTATAATTTCGGAGACGCAAAACCTTGGCCTCCTTATCCTATTTTCTTATTATGGTAGCCTTGAAGTGTCGAAATCATTTTATCGCTACAGAATATACCTTTTATAAAACAGGCTCGACAAATAGTTACCCTTGAATTTCAACGCTCTATCTGCTCAGAATTTAGTTTTGAGAAATTTAACGTTAAAAATTTTGAGTTTCACAATAATAAGTCAAGCTTTTTGTGATGCACGTCTTTGAATATCTGAATAACGACTCCAAAAAATATTGCAAGTTTGATTGAGCAGATAAAACATTTGGTTTCTGACATCATGGTCTTAGTAACTCAAAATGTCTAAAATTGTGAGAAAGAACTTGGTAGTTCAATGTTAGTAAAATACATCCCCCTTTTCATGTTACCTTTTTGCGCTATGGTTCTACAGGCAGGGAGGCAGAACAGGTAACACCAAAGTTTTCTGTAATCTGAATCGCAATAACGCAAGGTTCCACGTCTGGACCATAATAATAAATAATGATGATAATTGCATTTATATAGTGCATATCCACTCTTTACGCCATGCTCTATAATAATATGCACTTTATAACCATCATTAGCCCAGCAGACCATAGAACACTAAGAAACATTCTCGGCTTCCCAGGAAGCGTACACAGCAAGTTGCGGATTTCACGCACTCAAGCACTAACACACTGACAAGATAATATCTTTCGCTGTCTACAACCTCTTTCCAATTTCCACCGGGGTGAAGTGAGGAAAATTTGTGTAAAGTACCTTTCCCAAGAACACAACTTCGGGTCCCTGACGGGATTCGAACCCACGGCCCAATGGTTGTGAAGCCGAGAGCCTAACCACTTGACCAGTGACCCCATTCCGAGTTCCATTTTCGAGAAAAATAACAATGTTATGTAACTTTAGGAGCACTATCAGCGAAAATAAAACCAATAATTATTCCCCTCCCCCAAACCTCTTTATCCCCTCCCGTCTCCCTCCCCTCCCCCCCCCCTTTCCGCTAAAAACAACTTCGGGCAATAACAAGCAGTTATCTCAACAACTTAGGAAGCAGTTTTGTAGCTCCGTCGATTTGGCACTCAGTCAAACCTAGCTTTGTTCAGAGGTCTTTTACTTTTATGGGTTTTAAAAGAAGTTCTCAGTCAAAATGGAGAACAATACGCTCGTAAGTTCTGAAAAGTTGACATCGCCCAAGGATAGACAAGTTTTTGTGTGGGTTTTTTCGGGGGGAGGGGGGGGGGTTATTTTTTCTTTTAAGCGCACTGAACCCTGTCGCGACAATTGTAGAGGTCACGTTACAGGTCGTATGACGTCAGTCAGTCATGAATTGACTCTGTATAAAGAGGCCGGATCGGTTAACCGCTGTTAAAAACTTATCGCTCCTCGCTTGGCCGACAAACTCCCGGTCAACTTTCAGAAAAAGGGTAGACTCTCTATTTAAAAATAACGAGAGTCCTTCGATCAAGAGATGTGAGTATCTTCAGATTTAGAAAGCGCTTGTTTTTGGACTTCAAGTCTTTTCAAAGTTAATGTTTACTAAAAATTCGTTTAACTTTAAGGAATTAACATTCTTGGAGCGTTGGTTTTTGCATTGTTGATACCCCCCCCCCCTAAAACCCCAACCTTCTGATACATTATCACGGTGTCTTGTTCTTGCACATTGGTTTTAATTGTTTACCTTCTATTTCTTTTTTATATCAACTCCCTACGTGTTTGAAGTTCAAGAAAGAGATCAGGGTTCTCGTGGTCTAGAGGTTATAGTGTTTGCCTCTCATTACATAGGTCCTAGGTTTGAAACCTGACAAAGACGGAAAATGTTCATACTCTCTAAAGATGTTCTCATTTCACCTCCTTTCCTGCTCTCTCGCCTTATTCTGTTGTGCTTTTGTCTTCATTTTCTGCCCCCGTTTAATTAATGTGTCCCGCGCGCTCATATAACCTTTTGATGTTTCGAGCGTCGTAAAACACTTACCAAAAAAAAAAAAAAAGAAAGAAAAAAAAAGAGATTTATAGATTTATTTTTCACCCAGCAAACATAGTCTAGATCAAGTGTACATAAACACGTGCTTTAGTCCATTATTATGTATGACCAACAATAGCACGTGGAAAATTGTGAAATGGTATTGGTTTAAACGCCCCTATCAATACGTTTAGATTATTTAAGAGGTGGGACTTTCGAGTTTAACGTCTACTTCCGAAAACACCATGTGCCTTTCCCAAGGACACACCGTCGGGCGGAGCTGAGGCTCGAACCCCCGAACCCGTAATCCATCTAATGATTACAGATCTGGTAGCTTATAGCACAATGTTTTCTTAACTTCACTTAAATGAGTTACGTTTTACCATTATTAAGCAAGGATCTTTCACTTCAATCTTATTGGACACAATCAACTAATACATGAATTACATCAATATCGCACCGACCTACCTTTCAAACGCAAATGAGTGTGGATAACTTATTTCCTTTCGCTTCTTCGAAGGTACAACAATGTGCTTATACACATACGTTAAATACACACATACACACATACACACACACACACACACACACACACACACACACACACACACACACACACAAACAAACAAACAAGTACACACACACGCACAGCCATACACACACAAACACAAACAAAGACAAACAAACAAACAAATAAACAAACAAACAAATAAACAAACAGACAAACATACAAACATACAAACATACAAACATACAAAACGAGCACGCACAAACTGTATGCATAAAACATTTGTGACTCTGAAAGCAAACAGAAACAAACCATCCACCTCTTGGATATCTGGTTGCTGAGGAACACAAAATCATCCTTTATCTCAGTCGACTCACACACGACGCGACTCTCTTAGTAAAAATCAAAGATATCGACATTTTCCCAACGGTTTGGCGATTTTATTGATTTTAAAAAGTTTTGGAACAATACCCCCCCTCCCCTCCAACCAGGACAGTGCTACTGACTGAAGTTGTCTTTAGGCCATTCCCTGAGGGGGATATTAACATGTTCTTATGAACAGTTGAATTGTAAATGGGCGGGTTTATCAATGTCATGCTCATACTGTGTCGAAACAACACAGGAGGAGGAACTGCTGCTTTATCTTTCCTCATCCTCACTATCGTCATTTATCCTCTACTTTTTTTGTATGTTTGTCATTCTCTTGTAAACTGCTATTTCCGGGGTGCCTTGAAAGTCGAAGCAAACTTTGTGCTATTGAGGCTAGAGAGGTGAGCAGAGTAAGCCTGATTCCCTCGTTTGGACTTCTCTGGTGACATCCACCCCTTAGCGCTCAAATGACCTTATGCAGTTGCGAGCGCTGTAAAACCTTACTAAAACTAAACAATACCTTGTATTTCCATTTAAATTACACGCTTCTGTGTTGATCTGAAAAACGTTGATTAAAGGCATCAAAAAATGTAAATTTTCAGGTTACAAGGATTCTCAAGCTTTGAAAGTTACCAAATTTGGCCGCCATTTCCCTATTAATGTAACCGATGAAACCAGGTGATCATCATCTCCTTCTGTCGAAAATATCTCGACTCTGATTCAAGTTAAATTTGGGGTTTTTTTCACTTACAACATAGACAAATGAACAAGCTAATAACTTCACATGCCCTCAAATCGGCAAGTTCCTTATTCAACCATGTCGTGACAAAAATTATGGACATCTCTATTCAAGCTTGAAATTTGGAGTTCCATTCGTGATCTGATTCGATAGTTATAAATTACGTGCTTTCATCAGATCTGACAATTTAAAAAAAAAAAAAAAAAATGTGAAACCCTTCTGCTTCGGTGGGTGGATGGTGAGTGCTCTGATGTGGTTTGCTCATTCTTTCCTATCAAACGTCTATTATCCTTAGCTTTCCTTTTTTGTCTTTGAGACTTTATTATAATATCCCTAACTTTCGGCACTTCTATGACCTTATTGTGTTGCAAGTGCCGTAAACCTCTTTCTAAAACAAAACCTGTCCTTCACGTGTAGTTGGAGTGGGCCATGGTTGGCCCTCACTTTGTTTATCTATTTAAATTGTATTGTCTGTCTCGCTTTTTCCATGCAGTAAATCGCTGTTATAGTGCCGAAGTGCTTCTCTTTACGTACACTGAAACTTTTAACAAACTACTTCTTTCATTTACGTCCTCAGTAAGCAGAATGCGGTCGCTTTTATTCCTGTCCTTCATCGCCCTTGTGCTGTGTGCAGCAGTGTCTGCGCAGGTAAGTAATGAGAAAAAAGAAAAATGATGTCTGTGTACTAAATATTTTTTTTAAACTAGAAGTCTTGGGCCTATTATTATAGGGTCATAACTGTCTGGAGATGGAGAAGATTGTCCGAAATAGAGATAGGTGGAGAGACCTTATTGGCTACCTTTACCCCAATACCAGGGAGGGAAGGAGGCAAACGACGATGATGATACTATGTTACCAAAAAATGATATAGTTTTAAAGTCCCTATCAGCATTGTCAGGGCCTCTTAGTTTAACGACAATCCCCAAAGCCAAAGGACCGAGCCAAGTTGGACATTTCTATAAAATGCCTTTCCCAAGGACACAACGTCGGACCGAGCTGAGGCTCGAACCCTCGGAACTCGCAATCTCGCGATGACGGGTCTGGTATTCTAACCACTAGGCCACCGACGCCACTACTATTTTACATTTCGAAAACAAAAATAATTTGTGATGCAGCGTGGTGAAATCAGGCGCTCGTCAAATTAATGAAATTGAAGGGGTTAGGCTACCGGACTCGGGCCCGACGTTGTGTCCTTGGGAAAGGCACTTCACACGAATTTTCCTCTCTTCATCCAGGTGGAAATTGGTACCCGGCCATAGACAGCGAAAGGTCTTGTCAGTATGTTAGTGTTTTAGCGCCTATAAATGGTTGCTTGCACTGTATGCTTCCTAGGAAGTTGAGTTTGTTTCAGAATGCTCTCAGGTCTGCTGGGGTAATAGTATAGATTGTGAAGGGCATAGAGCTTGCTATTGAGCGGGGATTTGCGCTATACAAATGCTATCTATTATTATTATTGAAGAAACTGACATTTTTCTGCCAGTTTGGCGATTTTTATTGAATTTTTTGTGTTTGATTCAGTACTTTTTATGTCCATTTAAAAACAATTTGCTGTGGGATTTTTACTCACAAACTTTGACAAAAGACACAAAAAACTGTAAATTTACTATTTCCATTGACTCTCAAGCTTTGGAAGTCACCAAACTTTGGCGGCCATTTTCTCTCTAATTTTAACCCTGAAACCAGGTGACCCCCACCTACTTCAATTCACCTAAAAATATCTCGACCTCTATTGAAAATAAACAGAAGAGTAATTTTTTCATTGAAAGCAAGACAAGTGGACACGTTTTGAGATGACACCAGTACTCCATATGCCCCAAAATTGACGAGCGTCTAATTCAAATGCGTCGTAACACATTTGTTCGTGTCATTTGTAACTTCATTTTATGAGGGTATATTCTTTTCCTGTTATTCAAGCCGCAAAATCTGTCAGTTTGAGGCAGTAAGCAGTTGTCTCTGTGCAAATAAGTACTGAGCAAAAAGAAATTAAGACTTTTTTCATGTACTTGAAAACATTCTGGAAATGAGACGTACACACAAACCCAAAGAATTTATTTAGAAAGCTAAATGATCCTTCTTTCCTATGAAACATCATCTATCGTCCTTCTTCTCTTTTATGTTTGTTACTCTTTTGTAACACCTCTAATCTTCTGGCGCTCACATGACCTTATGCAGTTACGAGCTCCGTAAAACCTCTACTAAACTAGAACTAAAGAGAGCTAAAGTACTTTCGACCCCGGAATAATTATAGCTTCGTAATAGCAAGGGGCCCTACGAAATAGAGGTCACATACGTACAAATCAGTATCACAGCAGGTTGAAGAGCCAACAGTCGACCGACTACCCCCCTGAGATTTAGCGGGGGCGCGAACGAAAAGGATTTAAGGTTTGGAATGTCACGAGGACACCATGCCGATCTAGGTGTGTCATTATCAGATCAAGGAAGGAAGGAAGGAGCGGTAAATCAGCCTAGGTAGGAGGTCAACTACGGGTACAGTAAGTCAAGTCTGTTTCGAGTTTCCGCCTTATTTTTTTCTTTGCTTCTCCATCCGTGGCAAAATGTCAATCCGCCCCGCCCTCCCCCAAGATTATGCAACGCTTAAAAGAGTGCGTTCTTTGTCTTTCATTATGGCTGGTTGTTGTTAATGTTGTTTTGTGTGCGTTTGAGATGTTTTTTCTTGATTTATTTGGGAGGGGAGAGAGGTGAGGGGGGGGGGGTTGCATTGTTTGTGAGGCTTAGTTGTGAAATCAGGAATTGTCAGTTTCCGGGGGTTTCGCAATGTCTATCGAATTTTTGTTTCTCGACTTAACATCTTTAATCTTTAACGTTCATGAAAAAACACATTTCTGTATGGATTGTGTTGAAAAACGTTGAATAAAGGTATAAATAATGCAGATGTTCATTTCCAAGGTTTCTGAAGCTGTGGAATTCACCAAACTTTGGCAGCCATTTTCTCGCCAATTTTACCTTTGAAACTGCGTGACCCCCACTTGATTCAATCGTGAACCCTTGAAGAGAGATTTTTTAAAGTATATTTACTCGTATTCATATCGATTGATAAACTTACATGTAATTTACTTTTTGTATTTATTGATTCTACTTTTGTGCTTGATTGATCATTCATTCAGTTATTGCTCTGCTTTTCCATATTGATCAGAATCTTTAACTCACTGAGGACACACATTTTAATCGTTCGACAACGCTTGAAGACCTGCTGTTTTGGGGCATGACTTTGTTATCCAAACAAGTTTTTAACATCTGTTTTCTTTATCAGGAATTTAAAATGCAAGCAGCAACGTGCATCCTATGATAAATGAAAACTGGTATTTATGATGACTCGAAATGTTTCCCAACGTTGCCTTTGGCCTACAGCTGGTCGGACATATTATGTGCCCGCTACGTCTTTAACCCTATCCGTACGTCGTATTTTACTATCGTATCCATACGACGTGGGGAACTCTGTGTCACCACTTTCCAAAGAGAAAATTTACTCGTTAATCTGATCGTACGCTTTGCCTAGCTGTCTGTCAAAATGATTTTTTAGAAATACTGAAAGTATCAAAGAGATCCTCGCGCTAGAAGTATTCTAAACTGTGAAGAATACAACCCCGGGGGTACAAAATGACCACAGGGCGTACGGATAGGGTTAATAAAGAGTTAAAATTGTTATCTTCCCTCCAGGGTCCAGTGGGTGATGAATCTCAAAATGGCGGCTCTATTGACGCGAGGTCTGTGAATGGCGCTTCTGCAGGTGGGGAGTCTCCTCAGGATGACGTGTCTACAGCTGATGGAGAAGACCCACGTTCTGACCAAGCGTCTCCGTCTGCTGTGAGAGTGAGTGCCTCTCCTCCAGTATTCTTTTTTAAAATGTATTAGTTATTATCCCCCCCCCCTCCACCCGTCTGGCTCCTCCCAATATAAAATGAATGCCGAAGACAAGATTGTCCTATCAGACATGGTATTGGAAACCAACTGAACAGGAAGACCAACTAGAAGAAAGCTATTATAGAGGTACAATAAGGGATGTGTGTGTTTGTGGGAGTGTGTGTGTGTTTGTGTGTGTGTGTTTTTTATGTGTGTGTGTGTGTATGTGTGTGAGTGTGTGTGTATTATATTGTTTCCCCCCACACACAAGAGAGAGATTTCCCCATGAGGCAGCTTCATTAACATCAGAACAATCTCAACAAGCCCGGGGATTAAAAGAACAGATTTGTTTTTCCGCAAACTCCCCCCCACCCCCCACCCC